CAGGAGGATGGTCTGTTAGGAACTTACTTGGCCATACCAGAAGAAAACTTGTTTCCTGAATTCTTGACATTTCCCTTTGCTATATTCATTCAGGACCTGGATGATTACCAAGATAACTCAGTCCCTGACAGAGTGGGTCTTAATCATGTTGGCAGAACAAGGAGCATTGGTATGATTATTTAACCCTTTTAAATTGTAATATCCATGTTTGTTTTAACAACAGCCCAGACTAAGCCTTAATTATGATAGTAAACATTAATTGTCACTTTACAGATAAATTATAGACCCAGAGAAAACAAACATAAACCTGTTTTCTCTAGCTTTCAGTGGGACATAGTATTAGAGACCAAAATCTGGTTCTAAGTGTATATAAGCCTTAAGGTGAACAGAACTAGGAAAGATACAGTCTTTAAAAATTAGTGAGTTTCTGTGGCAATTTCTCAGCTTGGCTCTACTTATTGTTATACAAAATACTTCATTTTAAAATCATTCTTGAACTCTAAATTGTGTTCCTTGACTTTCATAGTTTAGTGGGCTTAAGGACTTCAGCCTTAAGGACTGAATGTTTGTGCCCACCCCCACCCCCAAATTCCCATGTTGAAACCTTAACACCCAGTGTGGACATGGGGATGCTAAACAAGTAATTAAGGTCACATGAGGTCATAAGGGGGGGGCCCTGATCTGATAGGATTGGTGTCCTTATAAGAAGAGATACCAAGAGAGCTTGCTCCCTCTACCCCTGTGCCCATGAACAAGAGGTCAGGTGAACACACAGAGAGATGGCAGCCACCTACAAGCCAAGAAAGAGGCATCAGAATGAAACACACCCTGCTAGCACCTTGATCTTGGACTTCTCAGCCTCCAGAACTGTGCCACATAAGTTTCTGTTGTTTAAGCCACCCAGTCTGTGGTGTTTTGTTATTGTAGCCTGAGAATACAGCTATATGATGATTTTTAGAATAAAAACACTGATACGGTTATTAGAATTAAAACAGCAATACTGATACAATGCTAATGCCCTTACTTATTTGCTTTTTAGTTTCTCCAAAACATTCTAAAACACTCATCTAAATACTAACAATAAAATATTTGGATTACTAATGGAAACTAAGATTATTACATGCCCAATATTCCATTTATTATTAATCCTATACTACTAATTCCACCCCCCCCCCCGCCAATTGTAATGTTTGAACTTCTCTTCCTGTCTTTCTCCTGTCTGTTACTCATGGAATTCATTTATCCAGCTGTGAAATTGTAGGCTCTTCTAACGTAGGTGAAATAGGAAATATCAGCAAAATAAAGAGGTAAGTGGTCCTTGTTTCTTTGTGACTGCATTAAATCAGATACAATTCAGCATGAAATACCTCTTTGTAAATGTTCCTAATGAATTAGTCTTGTAAGATCCCTGGACTTTGGAGTTGTTGCAGTATCTGTGAAAGTAATTCTTTAAAAGTCTAATTCTGACTGGTTGTATCAGTTAATGATTTATTGCCCTAGTAATAATATTTGAAACAATATCATATTTTTAAATATAGAAATCCTCATGAGATTTTGTTTAAACCAAGGAGGATTACTGATGCTTCCTTCTTGTTTCATATGAATGAGGAAAGGTTTGGCTTATATATCTGCTGCATTTCTGTTTTAAATAAAAAATTGAGTTTATGTCTCATTAACCTGAAAAAATATGCCCCTACAAAATAAATGATTACATTGGGGGAAAGGGGAAGAGTGAGGCTAGGGACTCCATCATAGGGCCCAATATGAGGCAGTAAAATGTGCAGCAAGATTGACCTTCAATTGGGTTTTGCTGTGTGCCTGCCTGTCCCTGCCTTCTGGCTCTTGCCATCTGGGACCTACTTCATTAAAGGTCTGAAAATGTTCCTGGCCATTGCACAAATAATGAAATAAAAAGGAGATAAAATATTTTTAAAAATTTAAATTTACTTTTTATTTTAAAGTAGTTTTAAACTTACAGAAAAGTAGCAAAGATAGTCCAGAAAGTTCCCGTATACCCCTCACTCAGTTGCCTTTTTTATTACTGTGGTTCACTCGTCACATCTAAGAAACCAAACTTAGTACATTACTATTAACTAAACTTCACAATTTATCTGGATTTCCTAGTTTTCCCCTAATGTCCTTTTTCTCTTCCAGGATCCCACCTAGGACACCACATTACACGTAGCAGTCATGTCTCTCTAAACTCTGGTCTGTGAGAGTTTTTCAGACTTGATTTTTGATGATCTGGACAGTTGTGAGAAGTGGTGTTTGGGTATTTTCCAGGATGCTTCTCAATTTGCGTGTGTCTGATGTTTATCTCATAGTTAGACTGGGGTTATAGGTTTTCAAGGGGGAGACCACAGGGGAGAATGAAGTGTCATTCTCATCCATCAGATCAAGGGGATATGCTATCAACATGTGTTATCATTGATACTAACCTTGGTCACCTGACTGAGGAGGTGTTTACCAGGTTTCTCCACTGTGAAGACACTTTCCCCTGCCTCCTATGTCACTGAATGCCGCTCACACTCAAAGAGTGGGGATTGAGATGCCACCTTTGAGGGGGGAGTATCGACATAAATGATTTTAAAATCTTCTGTATAGGAGACGTGTCTCGCCTCCCCCATCTACTTACTCCTTCAATCCTTTGCTTGTGTATATTTATTTAATAATTTGTGTTCTATTCCAACATGATATTACTTATTCTGTTACTCGAATTGTTCTCTTATTAGCCTTTGGGAGCTCTGGCACGTTGACGCCCGTGTCCCTCTCACATGCCCCCATCATTTTATTTTTTGAGCATGCATTTACTTCCTAGCATGACAAGATGCTCCAGGCCCATCTTGTACATTCTGGGCACCAGCCCTTGGATCGGCTGTTTCTCCAAGGAGCTCTGGTTCCTTTTACTGCAGAATTTTATTAGAAACCCAGATTGTTGTTATTTGTTTATTGAATTTGTTGATATTGTGGCTTTTGCCAGATGTCACTGTATATGGCTGCGCTGCCCAGTATGGCACACATTAGGCACATTTGGCAAATGAGTACTTTCTACGAGACTAGTCCAAATTGAGATGGGATGTAAGTGTACAATATACACCGGGGTTCAAGAACTTAGTGGGAAAAAAGAATGAGAATATTATATTAATCATTTTATATTGATTACATGTTGAAATGATAATATTTTGGAAATATTGAGTTGAATAAAATATACTGTTCAAAGTACTTGTGTCCATTAATTTGTACTTTTTAAAATGTGCTTACTGTGAAATTTAAAATTACACATGTAGATTGCAGTATATTTCTGTTGACAGAACTGACATATGGATTATTAAAATAGGTCTGTTCATTGTTAAAATGAGTCTGCTCATTGATAGACTAATTATCAGTGATTCTCAACAGAGTGGGCAGGGAAGTGGATTATGCCCTCCAAGGGACATAATATCTGGAGAGATTCTGGTTGTCACAACTTGAGGGGAGTGTATTAATGGTACCTAATGGGTAGAGGCCAGGAGTACTGCTAAGCACCTTACAATGTACAGAATAGCCCCCACAACAAAGAATTTTCCAGCCACAAATCTCAATAGTGCAGAGGTTGACAAAGCCTGAACTACAGGAAGAATGAGCGTAGTTCTAGCCTCCTTAAATAAGTATTTGCAGGTTGAAAGGGTAGAACTGGTTAGAATTTTAATGTGATCAAAGTGAGGGAGTGTTTTGCTTTCTGACAATTAAGTCCTATGGACTGAGTTTTCCTTTACTTCCAGTGACCTGGTAAATGGAATGAAGAATCCTAGAGGATTCAATGCCCCCAACAGAGACCTCAGCCTTTTTGATGTTGAAGTGATACATTTGCAAAAGCTGTTTGTTCCTTGTGCAGAGGTAGTGATATGCCCAGGACAACTCAGGAAAGAAATTTCCTGTGAAAGACAACCTATCTTCAGAGGATATTAGAAAATAAAGGCATAAATGTCCCTCAAATTCTATGTTCCTATATTGATCAATTTCAGCATATAGCTAAGTGCTTATGTGACTCTAACTGAGGGGGTCTAACTAAGAATCTCTGGGGGTGGAGAGGAAGGAAATTAAGCCAAAATCTCTAATTCTTTAATATGCTAACTCTTTAAGACACTCAGTGGTAATCCTAGAGACATAACTCTCTGAAACTTGTACAAATATCTTAAATGCATT